GGTAATTCAAAGGCCAAAAATAAAACCAAAATCCAAAGTATGGTGAGAAGTAAAGCAAAAAGCTAAATAAATAAATAAAATGACAGAAAAACTCTAAGCTTTAGTACTGACCACATATTTAAAATATACCAGTAAAAATGAATCTTTATTTCCAAGTGATTCATAAAATTTCTCTTATAAAATATTTTTCTTAGACAAAATGTTGCATAAGAATTTGATGAGGGGTCGGGGAGATGGATCAGTGTAATAAGCGCTTGCCTGGAAAGCACAGGGGCCTGAATTCAATCCCTGGTTCTGAAAAAAAAAAAAAGAAAGAAAGAAAGAAAGAATTTGATGGTCTGAGCTGGGGAAACTAGCTCAGCAGCACAAGCTTCTGCCTGGCAAGCACAAGGTCATGAGATTTATTCCCAGTACCACATACACAAAACAAATGGCTAGTTTGCAGGGTATAGTAAATGCAGAATCGTTAGGATAGGTATACGCTACTTTTACTTAATTCAATGAGAAGAAAGATTTGTACTAATAGTGTTTGGACAGGACATCCTGTCTGCATCTTGTATTATGGATAACCACTAAGAAGATAACAATGTACAATGTATTAATTATTGAAACTGTCTTATTCATCAGTTTTGAAACTGTCTCATTGATATTTGTTTCTCAATAAAATAAAATAAAGAAATGGCTAGTCTGAAATTTACTTTATAGTAAATCTCAGATAATTACATTCTAGTAATGGCAGGAGCATAAGTGGAAAATATGTCTATGTGAAGAATATATTGAAAGTAACCCATAAAGTAACTTCAAGGTGGAAAATATGAGCAGAGATTTAGAGAATTTGTTGCTTTTGAGGTAAAAAATGGAAAATAAGTTGGTTAATTATAAAGAAAAATGATCCCAGTATCTTACAAGGGCTTTTTGTGGACCTGAAAGCACAGTGCTCGTGAGTTAGAGTGCATTCTCTGTTTTAGAGATGACATTGCATGTCTCATAGATCTAAATCCATTTTTAAATTGAGACAAATACACAAGTATCATGTTTATTGAAAAATAGTATCAATAACATAATCTAATATTAAAATCAAATGGAAAATAAACAAGAATATTTATTGCAGCTCTACCTATAGCTCATTCATTCTCCTAGGTATTTGTTTCTTTTTCACTTGAGACCTCCTTGAGGGCCTCTGCTGTCTCTGCTTATTGCTATCAATCACCAAATTTACTATTTATCAAATGTGTTTCTGGCATCACAAATATGTACAATTTAAATAACTTGCTTTTTCAAATGACAAAATTGAACCATTAGAGGAATTGGATTGAATCTCCAAATGGATGAAGAGACCACACAAAACACTAACTACAGAAAAGAGACAAAATTTTAAAACTTGGTAATCACATATTTCATAACTTCATCATCAGTTTTTATATACTGCTCCTATTTATCTAACCATTGTTAATTAGTAGCAATCAGGTCAAACACAAAGTAAGCTGCACAAAATACTGAACTATCTATTTTACTGTATCTATTATACCATTCAGATTCTTATACTTGGAAAACAGTATATTTATACATATGGGTCTGATTTATTTCACCAATGAGTATAGCCTGTAGTTGCATGCACTTATCCATAAAGGCCTCAAGTTTGTCTTTCTTTATAACTGACGTATACTCAATTGTATAAAAAATACCACACTTTTTCATCCATTCCTCAGATTATGGGCATTTTGGTTGCATCCAAGACTTGGCTATGACAAATTGTGCTGCTGTAATCATGGGTGCCATATATCACTATTGTACAATGTTTTCAGATTTGGGGAAAATACCCATGAGTGGAATAGTTGGCTTGAATAGGATTTCCAGTCCTAGTTTCTTGAGGAGTCTCCACGCTGATTTCCACAGTGGTTGTACCAGTCATTGCCATCAACAATGAAGAAGGGTTCTTTATCCCCAACGCATTTTTTTAAAACCTATTTAGTATAGGGTCTACAGGGTCTCACTACACAGATCAGACTTGTAGTGATCCTCCTGTTTTCAGCTTCCCAAGCTCTGGGATTATAGGCTCATGCCACCACTCCTAGTCTCAATTGCTGTCAGCATGCCCTGGGTGTGAGGCCAGCATGGCACACTGGGAATCAAACCGCAGTCCCTGTGTCTGCCTAAGTAGGCACTTTAATTTGCTGAGCTATCTGGCCAGCCCTTAGCATTTGTTATTAGTTGATTTCTTTATGAAAGCTATTCTTTCTGGGGGGAGATGGTATCTAAGTGTGTTTCAATTTTCATTTCTTGAATGACCAGTACTGAAGAACATTTTTTCTTGTATTTATTTGTCTTTTGTATTTCTTCCTCTGAGAAGTGTGTATTGATCGCACATGCCAATTTTTGGAGTGGGTCTTTATGTTTTGGGAGCCTGATTTTTTTAAGTTCTTTATATATTCTAGATAGAAGTCCTTTGCCTGAGTGATTATTGGTTAAGATGTATTCCCAATTTGGTGGCTGTCTTTTCACTCTTGGTGATTTATTTGGACATGAAGAAACTTCTTAGTAATATGAGATCCCAGCTGTTGATCCTTTAAAGTATTTCCTGTGCAGTTTGGTTTCATTCATGAACTCTTTGTCTACCCCTATATCTTCTAGATTTCTACCTACTTTTTCTTTTAGTAGAGTTAGTGTTTCTGTTTTAATATTTAGATCTTTAATCCATTTTGACTTTAATGTAAAGTGATAGACCCAGGTCTAGTCTTAGTTTTCAGCATTTGGAGAGACAGTTTTTTCAGCACCATTTGTTAAAGAGGGTATTTTTCTTCCAGTGGATATGTTTGGCCCTTTTGTCAAAGATAAGGTGGCTGAATCTGTTTGTAGTTGTGTCTTCATCTTCTAATCTGTTCCATTGATCCTTGGGTCTGTTTTTTGCCAGTACCATGCTAATTTTATCACAGTAGCTTTGTAATATAATTGCAAGTCAGGGATTGTAATGCCTCCTGCCTTGCCTTTGTTGCTCAGAATTGCTTTTGCTACTCTACGTCTTTTCTGGTTCCAAATAAATTTTAAGAATGTCTTCTCTGGGTCTGTGAGGTACATGATGGTATTTTGATAGGGTTTGCATTAAATCTGTATAAGAAGTTTGGAAAAATTCTCATTTTCACCGTGTTGGTTCTTCCTACCCAGGAGCAAGGAATACCATAAGGATTCAACAACAAAGATGAGGGAAAGGAGAAAAGATACATAAAAGGGAGGGGGAAAATTACACAAGTATATATACAGGCTGGCTGAGAGGATTATACTAGTAATTTCCTTCATTTTTTAAAAAATAGAAGATAATGTTTAGAATTTTCACTTTGACCAGCTCTGTATGCTGATATCTGCAATCTAAGTAACTACATCAAGGACAACAATGTGTAATACAAAAACCATGGCTGAATACCTCTCATAGTAGTTCTCTAAATGTGTACCACTTCTAGTGTTTTATAATTATTATTATACTTCCTTTAAAATATTTTTAAAGTAAAAAAGACAAGAAAAAAATTAAGGCTTATTGAAAGCAAGTGTTAATATTCAATTTTTTGTCCAATCTTGCATAACTATATCTGTTAATCTGAGCAACAGATTTCAGAATTAAAATAGGTAATATAATTGTTAATTTTCTATTCTTGTTTTGAAAATCTGTAACATATGTATTGTTGTATATTACTCTTTTTCTGTCTTTGTATCTGCTATTTGTTTTTGCTTTTGTTTTTACTCTTCAAAGTAAAATAAAATAAAATCAGCAATTAAAATACTGAACTAGAAGCTGACCCCTTGGGGGTATAGTCTTATAAGGATGGCAGGACAGACTGACAGAAAGACTAAAACTGAGACTGATTACAGTCACACTAATAGTCCGCATGGAGAAGGAAGGGAAGGGGTCACTTCCAGATGAGAGTGATCTAAAGGCCTTGAACGTAGGGGTGAGATGGAATTTTAAGGAACCATTTCTAGATATGCTAATACTAGAGCCTACAGTCACACAATTACATTACAGTAAGAGGTTTGGAACCTCCCTGGAATTTTAACTTTGTAAAACTTTATGTGGAAAGTTATGCCTGGAAATAAAGTCACTCCTGGTCTTCCCCAGCTGTATGAGTAATCTGGAATTTTTCTTATACATAATGGGAAGCAGTGAAAGCATTTTTTGCATAAATATTGGGAATCAAGGTAGTTTTTAAAAATGATGATACTGGGAGCTGAGTGTAAGAAGAAATGAAGTTACGAAAGGAGAAAAAATGAACACAAGGCAAACAGGTAACATTTCCTGGGCAAAAACATTGGAAAAGGCAAATCATTGGAGACAAAAATAAATGTCATTTTTTGTAATAAAAATGATAATGCTTAGGAATGGTAAACTGGTCATCATACATAGCCCAGTGTTATGCTTTTTGTTTTTAATCTACCATGAAAAATAGTATTACTCCTTTCCAAGTATCTACTGACAAATTCTCTTTGGAAAACAATTGCTAATCCTTTTTTGTATATTTGCAAATGATCAAAGAAATTGGAATGTTTTCTTGTTCATGTTAGGAAAAAATGTTTTCCAAAACATAAGCTTCAGGACAAACCTCCAGAGGATGTAGCTTTAAAGATCTCCCTCAATGTGTATGTGTATATTTTGTGTATGTGTATATTTTCATTTTTTATTAATATTACACCTAAGTAATGAATGGGGGATGGAGGAAAAAGGCTTTGGAGGAGATTTTGTCCATTTAAACCAAATTCATTATTTTTACCCAATTTTGTAGTGTGGCATTTTAAGTAAGTGCTAGCCTGAAGGCTTTCACTGTTTGGAACCACAGGCTTTATATTACCTTAGGAGAAAAAAAAAGAAGAAAGAAAAAAAAAAGAAAGAAAGAAAGAAAACCTCTCAGCCGCAAGTTGGATGCTTCTGGCAGCAGTACAAATCTAGCACCACCCAGGGAGGGAGTGTGTTTGCTTCTTTGCTCACTTCTGGCTGGGTGGAGGGATGCTGGACATCGAGACGCAAGAGAGTCTGCAGCACACTGTGCCCCAGCCCCACTCCTTGGGCATCCTTCCTCTGGAGCACACAGGTAAGTGCACCTGGTGCTGCCGCGACTGTCAGTGCAGCACGAGCAAGCTGGACAGTAAGTGCACTGCGCCGAAGGCGCCTATCTTATCCACATCTGCAGGGAGGTCATTTAGATTGGTGTAGGTCCTTAAGTTTGTCACTCAATTAATTCCTGAAAAGATCCTTTTTATGTATTACAGCTATCTGTATCTTACTATATGGCTTTGTAGCATGCCTTCCTAAGGTATGAAAAACACTAAATAGCACCTGAATGTTAACTTTTTTTTATGACAAATCCATAGCTATTATTAACCTGTTATTCTTCATGTTCAGAAACTGTAAAGATTTTATAGAAATTCTTGTTACTGAATAATAGAATACTATGTCATATAAACTTTACTCCTTAATGTCAGTGTTGGAAAATAACACAATTGGGTGAAGTGTAAAACTTAATGTAAGACAGTAAACTGAAACACTATAGAGATAAAATTTACACATAATATAGCAGTAGTCTCTAAATATAAAACTTAGACATTATAAATTTGGGTTCTTAATGATTTTTTATACCACAAATTGTGTTTCCATTTAGATGTCAGAAACTGAGCTGGAAAAGATAAAAGTAAGGACAGCTGAGCCTTTTGAAAATGACAAAAATAAAGTTTCTTGGTTGAAGGAAGGTAAGTCTTTTTGTTCTGAATTTTCTACTGGTGTAAAAAAGTGTGCTTTTTTAAAAATTAAAAGCAAAAGGTAGTATGGAGAGGAGGAGGACACTTGCACAAGAACTTCAAAGGATATTAATGCTTCTGATTTTCTATTCTGTGTACACATGGCCTAAGCACTCATCTGAGAATCTGTGTTGATTCTGTGTTGCAAGAAGTAGATTCCTACTTTGTTGCTAAGATTTAATATTCATTTTCAGCTCCGATGCATGTTGTATGTTCTCTGTGAGGGTCCAACAATAGTGAAGATGTTTCTTTCTGGTAGCCAAGAAGTCTATGTAATTTGAGGACAAATACTTTGAAATAATAGTCACAGAAAATGATGCGTTCTATAGGAAACAATACCTACAGATAGCATCACCACTGACCGCAATTAGAAAAGCCACCTTCCCCCTGGGTGAAGGGCTGTCAGCCACCAGCGCAGCATGCTTAAGATTGTTGCTTGAAATATACACACAAATCAATATGCTCTCCCATGATGGGTACTTTTGAAAATATTTCTAGACTCATAATCACTTACTAAAATGCTTGGGTTTTATTATCTTTTGGTTTTATGAACACCTCTTAATGTCTCTGAACTTGATTATTTTTTACTGAAAAGGAATACAGCATCTTTTCTATCATTTATATTAAGCTATTACAATGCAAAAGGACAGTTCTTATGTAGTAGAAATCCTTAAAAAATAGTGTATAAGTTTATAAAACAGTTTAATAAGTATGTCAAGAATGTTGTCCACTCCTCAAACGATCACAGCAACAGCAAAACCTGCAGCGTTCATTGGTGCATATTGGGGTTTTGCTGAATCATCATGACAACACACAATGCACTCGCTGTCCTTAATCTGCCAATGAGAAAACAAAACCTTAAAGAGTTCAAGTAGCTTGAATAACATTGCAAAATTAGGAAGTGTCAGAATTGGGTTTGAACATCAGGTCATTTAACTCTATAGTACATGAATTTAACCTCCTTTTCACAATGTCCCACAGAGAAAAATGGTTAAGTTATTTGTCAGCTATGAACTGTACTTTAAAAAAAAGCTTTCCTGCAGCATAAAATCGGCACCTCCAACTTCACTGCACCATCATATCCATTCTTAGCCTTCATCCCATCCCCCCTCTACCCTTATTTTTAAAAGGTTATTTGCTTAAGGAAAGAAAATCATTTCTTCTGCTCAAGTGCCCAGCAACCAAATTGAGCTGTGAGGACTCATCTCTCAAAAACACTTTATTTTAGGATAAAAGAGATGCAGAAATAAGGCACTCTCAGAGTCACTCCCTTCAAAACTCCAGGGCTTGAAAATTTTCAAACTTCTTTCTAGCAAAAGACATTCTAAACAGTCTTTCAAAAAAGGAAAAAACCTAACTTGGATCAAACAAGCCCCATGTTTTTCTTGTGATTCCCAATTCATAGAGGCAGTCTTACCTGTTACTTGTATTGAAGTTTACATTATTTATTATTATTAGTTTAATTGTGATATCTCAGAAATAATGATGACACTGGTAGACCAATCATTTCCTAAAGAATTTTCTTTGAAAAAATTATATCCATAAGTATAATTTAGGCATTGGATTCTTGTAATCTATAAAATCTGATTTTGCAAGTGACCTGTTTTTATCCCATTTGGACACTTCATTTAAGCTAAGCTTAAATCATATTTACAATATTTCATAAAAGGACATTCAGAGAGATGCTAGGGGACATCAACTTAATTGAGCATTATCAGGATGACTTAGTTTTCAAACATAAATGCTCTTTGCTGTTACGAAAAAGTGTATGGGTTGGCTTACTTTTTTAAAAAGACAAAATGCTACATACATGGAGAGCATTGCATTTGAAGTCAAACAGGCCTGGTTTTCAATCTTAGCTTAGCTACTTACTACACGTGTGACTGAAATCATTACTTTACCTCGCTAGCCACAGAATTCCTTTCCTGGAAAACAGACTGTTTGCTTTGTGGGCTTATGGGAATGAAACTCCATTAAACCTGTTTTCCTGTTTAAATCATTATGGTTTGAGGCTAGTTGTCCCCTCAAAGCCTCGTGCAGTCATGGGGCGGCTTCTGAAGTTTGTGATTGATTCTTGATCCAGTCCTGGGATTGCCTGTGGGAGTGCTACACCCTGATCCTGGGGTGGGTAGTCTGCATTGCAGTGTTAGGAAGGGAGAGAAGTTAGCTAGCTGCCTGAGCTACTGCCATGCCCTTTGCTCTTGCTCTTTGCCACCTCCACAACCGCTGCCCTCTGCCATGTGCTGCTCTGCCTTGGAACCAGCTGAGTATGGACTGAACCTTCCACCAATTGTGAGCTAAATGAACCTTTCCTTTCCTTCCTCAGTTTGGGGTGTTGAGTATTTTGCCCCAGCAATGACAGCAGAGTAACTGAGACAATCACAAATCAAAATAATAGTTTTTGTTTATGAGAAAAACCATGATTCACACCTTGAACAAGCTGTCCTAGCAACTCCACTGACATTTTACAATACTTTGGTCCATTGCTTTATTTTAACCCCTACAGGTAATAATAAAATTGTCCTCATCTCACCAATTAAGAGACTGAGGTGTTGAATATGTTCCTACTTTCAGAACTGATAAATGGCAAATTGAATCTCAAATTCAGATTTCCTCATTTTAAATTCCTTTTGTTAAATCACTTTATCATGGTGACATCCCCTAAGAGTTAGCAATCAAAATTTTAGATTCATCTTCATCCTCTTCATTCCTTCTCTTTTGCTTTAAAAAATGAAATAAATGTTTTAAGTTGTTCAGAAAAGTTGATTTTTATAATCTCAAAACAGTAGTTATGTCTCACATGGCACTGCCTCCCTCGCCTCCCCCTAGATCTGTTGCTGAATACTGCATTGTTAAAGTGGAACAAAACAGCAACACCTGATTAGGGCTGAAACATCTGCTTGCCAGCATTCACAAAGCACCAAGTGCAGCCTGTGAAGGCGAGCTGGGCGTGAAGCCCATTGAGAGTTATTATCATCGTCACCATTCCAAGTGCTGATAGTATTTCTAACTTCTCATCTTTAAATATTCATGTAATTATCCCACCCAATTCAATTTTATTAATTGTGGTGCCACTCTAGACAAGGAATGAGCATGGTGGAGAAGAATAGACTCCCCCAAAAAAGCATATTTGTACTCAAGGAACTTTTTGGTTAATCATCTTGCTTTTGCCTAAAAGGCAAATATCTTTTATTTACCATCAATTTGCTGTCATGAAGATTATGGGCCTAACAGCCTTCAGGGTGATGCCTGGAGATGGTGCAAGTCACAGCCAGTGCTGTCATCAATAATTAGAATAGATTCTGTTGTAGAAGCTATAGCCAATAATTATGGTAAACTGTTTGAGAAACACAACTCGCAAACCTGAAAATATGCTAATTTTAAAAACAATTGGGTCCTATTTGCCCTCTCATCCAGCAGTAAGTTATGTAGCCTTGAACTTCTGGAAGTTTAGATTAATCATATTACTGTATTCTAATGGAAAGAATTCAGGAGGATACGGGAGAGCCATGGGAATAAAAGTTAGAGTAAGACAGCTGATTCTGTCTTACTCTAGGTATCACATTTGGAGAAAGTATATTTATGATAATCAGAGAAAGGAGATATGATTTTTAAACATGAACCAGGGAAGATGAACTGCATCATGTTACTATGGAGAAGGTGGAGAAGAGGAGCTAATCCTAGGAGCAAAAAGCTATCAGAAGGTCTGGATGATGCCTATTTTGGTGCTAGGGAAATAAATTTATTTGCTACTTATTTGTGTATGAATTAACCCAAAATGGGAGGAAAAGACTGAGTTCTAACCAGCATGTCAAGTACTTGGACAGTGGTTCCATATTGTCACTGAGGGTCTGAGAGCAGGGGCTCACACAGCACTGAGACATGCCTTGTGCATCTGTGTCTGCGACTGGTGTGTACCACAGGGCGATGCGGGCAGAGGAAAGGATGAAGGAAGGCAATGGCTAAGACAGCAGTACTTTCTCAGCCCCAACATGAGAAACGTAGGACCTGGATAGAACTCAAGAAAATAGGCTCCAGTGTGAAAAACTAGATGGAGGAAAAATTGGTATAACATAGAAATTGGGGCAGAAATTACAGGTGGAATAGGACAGCATGTAATACTCCATTAAGCCCGGGAGCATTCTGGGAAAGCATTTCAGGTCTTGTACCGTACATCATTTGATACGGAAGAGAAACATCAAGATGAAGAAATGGAAGCCCTGAAATTGTTGCCATTTGCAGTTTAAAATCACAGCATCACTAGTGTTTGAACTGCATGCAATTTTTTACACTTTCTACTGATTTTCCAGGAAAAACTGGAAGTGTGCATTTCTTTGTCAAACCTCTTGATTGCTAAAGTAGTAATAATACAAATAATAACAAAAATAACAATAAAATACAACACAGGACAAAGGCAGTAAGGGCCCAGTGTTCTAGTTCAGTCCACAGGTTGCCAGTCTGTAAGTCATGCCCCAGGATTTTGTATCTCTAAGCATAATCTAATATTGTTTCTTGAAATTGAGTCCTTTATAAATGTCATTGCATCAGCACAGATATCTTCCTCTTGTTCATCTATTCACATCTATACACATATATGTACAAAAACTTCTTAAAGTTTAGATTAATCAGATTGCTACATAGCTGCATGTAGGAGCAAAATGCAGATAAGAATCATTTGACCTAAAAATGTGAAATTAAAAATACTAAAACAGGCCTTCATGGCACTAGCTACTCTTGCTTTAATGGGGAATTCTCTTTAGGGCTCTGACAAGCAAGGGAAGAAAATCATCCCACATGACAAGTGTGCCCTCCAAAAACCAAAGCAATGAACTGACATCTTGAGTGTGCTGGTTGTCATTTAGTCAAAATTATTAAATATTAGAGAACAATAATACAAGTTTTAACCAGATAGCTCAGCAGATGAAAGCACCTGCTTAGGCGAATGCAAGGCT